GCTTGAGAACCCTGAGCTGGGCCCGGGTGGCGCTGGGCGGAGTCAGGCCGCTGATAAGCTCCTCCCCGCTGACATGGAGACACTCAGACAGATCCAGAGAGCGGAGGGAGGGCAGAGACAGCAGCTCGGCCAGACCTGATCAGAACCAATCAGAACCCATAAAGGTCTGATCAGAACCGAACCAGGCGTTCCTGGGTGACGACCTTGCCTGACCTCTTTCAGTGATCCTCCAGTCCCGGGACAGGGACAGCTCCGTCAGCGCCTGCAGGCCGCGCGCTGCCGCCTGCACCGAGCGGCTGCTGAGCTCCGTGCAGCCGCCGACGTCCAGCCGCCGCAGGCTGCGCTGCTGCTGCAGCAGAACCTCCACTGAGCGGTCCGTCAGCTCCCTGCAGCCCTGCAGCCGCAGCTCCTCCAGAACCAAACCGTCCACCTGCAACACACTCTGACCAGTAAGCATACTGGTTCTGCACCAGTAAGCATGCTGGAGCATTCCTGACAGATAAACGCCACTTTAATAAACAACATGGCGCTGAACATTCCTCTAAATCAGTAGGGGAGAAGAAGAAACTAAACTTATTTTATGCATTAGAAAGACATCCAGATAAATCGTTTCATTTGTTTTTGTAACTGAAAAATCTACATTTTTGCCTAAAAGTTGAAAACAGCTTCCTTTAGTGAAGCTGTTTTTGACATCATCCTTTGCCATCATTAGTTGCAAAGGATGATGAAACAATTATTGATTAACTGACTAATATCTGGATGCCAAAGGTGATTAGTTAGGTTTGATTTTTAGGTTTCCATCATTTCTGCTGACGGTTCTTATTTCAGCTTTTTCTGAGTTTCTGTTCTTCAGTGATTGATTCCTAAATGAGTTCATCCGGATCGATCGCTTCAGGTTAACAGGATTAGTTTAGTCTCTGGACCGGACCCCTCGTTAGTAACCGGCCTGATGAACTGAGCCTCTTCAGAGCCGACCTCTGACCTGAAGCCTGAGCCCCGGCTCACCTGAGCGATGACGCGCAGAGACTGGGGTGTGACGCCGGTCCTGCTGAGGTCCAGCTCCCGCAGCGTGGCGTGCTGCTCCACCAGCAGGCGCCGCAGGTTGCGCAGCGACAGCAGGGCGGACGAATCCTCCCCGGCGCCGGCCGGCCGGCCGCCGTACGGGTCGAACTCGAAGGCGATGTGGCAGCCGGCCAGCGCCAGGCGGCGCAGGTGAGGCGTGCAGCCGGTCAGCCGGGTGAAGGTGAGGTCGGACAGGTAGCGCAGGTCGGACAGGTCCAGCTCCTCCAGGCCGCTCAGAGCCGAGCGGACCTGCAGCAGAACCGGGACAGGAAACCAGAAGGAAAAATTAATTTAATCAAAGCAAAGAGAAATATTTACATTTATTTTAATATTTTAAACATAAATAATATAAATTATATATGTATATAAAATATTTTAATATCTTCCTGTTATGTCTAAATTAAAAAATGTGAGAAAAAATTTTCTGACTGCATTTAATACAGTCGACATAAAATAATGTTAAAATTTAAAGATGTGCTTCTTTTAAATTCAACAAATCATGAAAGTATAAAATTTATTCTTCATGTTATGGAGAAACGATCGGCTTTGCTGACAAATCAGGTTTTAAGGTTTATTTATCAATCAATCACTGATGATTGATCAGATCGATCAGTTTAGATTAACTCATAATCAATAACTCGGATCCCTGCTTTGATTTTAGATTGAATTATTAACACCTGGTGCTGAGGGGCGACAGACGGAAACTAAACGTGGTGAAAAGTCATTAATGGTTTAATAAACCAAACTTTCACATTTTATTTTGTAACTCCTCAAGTATTTAGTTTTCCTGTTAGTGTAAAAAGTTTTTCTATTTACATAAACGTTTCATGTTATCAGACGTTTCTTATGTCGGATTTAAAATCATCTTTAGGGGAAATATCTCCACAACTTCATTTTCCAACATCTCATCCAGTTTATTCATATTTTGTATCTTTTTAATCTGCAGAGCTCAGCAGCTGTAACCGTTTGGCTTTGCAGGCCAACAGGAGGCTTCGGGAACGTGGCCAGTCGGCCTCCAACATGGCCGCCGTACCTGCCGCCGGTGCTCCTCCCTGGACAGGAAGGCTCCAGACATGAAGAGGCTGTCCAGGCCGCGCAGGTCGAGGCGGCGCAGCGCGGTGAGGCGCGGCAGCAGCGCCAGCAGCGAGGCCTCCGTGATGCTGCTGCCGGGCAGCGCCAGGCCCTCCAGCCACGGGCCGAGACGCTCGCCCACCTGAGGAAGAGGAGCGAGGAAGAACGACACCTTCACACAGGAGGATTGAACTGTTCCAAAGAGCCACAAAAAACAGGTCAGAGGTCAGGGGAAGGTGGCAGAGCTGAGCATGCTGATTGGATATTATGGGATGGTTTAGACCAGAGGGCCCAATGGGCGGCCTGGGGGCCCAATGGGGGGCCAGGGGGCCCAACGGGGGGCCGGGGGCCCGACGGGGGGCCCGACGGGGGGCCTGGGGGCCTATTGGGGGGGCCTGGGGGCCCAACGGGGGACCCAATGGGGGGCCGGGGGCCCAACGGGGGACCCAATGGGGGGCCGGGGGCCCAATGGGCGGCCTGGGGGCCCGACGGGCGGCCTGGGGGCCCAATGGGCAGCCTGGGGGCCCAATGGGGGGCCAGGGGCCAGTTGTGGCCCTTCCACTGTGGTCTATAATGATGCAAATTTCTGTCCAGCTCAGAGATGCAGATGGAGACTTTCTATTTTTAATGGAAGATATTAAATACAAAGTATTTGTGTTTTCATAACCAAACTTTAATTATAAAGTCGTCTTTGCTGCAGCCAAATCAGCTTTTATCTAATTTATTGAACCTGGACGAATGTAGAAAATTCTGTTTTATAAATATGTTCAATTGAGCCCAAAAACGGTGAAACCAGATTTATTTTCTACCAGGAATAAAAAACTTTGGAGTAATTTTTTCTCACTTTTGTTTCGACTCGATGTGGTTTGGATCAAAGCCGATTCACAGGAATGGCCTAGTCAAAGTGCAGGTGTTTCAATGTTCACATTTCTGTCAGAAACAAACCATCTTCAGTTTCCACAAGTTTAATTCTAACAGAGGGAATAAAACGCCTGTCATGGTTTCAACGCGCTGCCTTTCCGGCTGCCATGATGATGATGTCATCATCGGCACATTGAACTTTAACCTCATCAGTCCAAAATGTGGGTTTTACAGCTTAACAGCAGGTAGATCATACCAGCCGCTGGTGGGCGGAGCCTCTCAGCCTGGGGTCAGAGGTCGCCTGGTAGTGAAACCAGCAGGTCTTACCTGCAGCAGCAGCGACCTGGAGACGCTGAAGCCGTCCAGCTGGTTGATCCTCAGGCTGCAGCGCTGCTGCCGGGCCAGGCGGCCCACCAGCGCCTGCGCTGCCATCGAGGCCGGGAAGCTGAAGGTCACGTCCTTCTGCACACAGACAGCGGCGGTTAGAGGAGGCCGCAGCTTCCCGCTTCACCTGCAGGGGGCGGGGTCACCTGGAAGCGCAGGTCCTGGCTGGCAGCGTACCAGCTGCGGCACACCAGCGACGCTTCCTTCCTGTCTGCGGCATGGAGAAAAGTCAGGACGTAAACCAGAACCTGCAGCGACAGAAACATGGATAAGCTAAATTAGCTCCAGTGCTAACCTGGCATCTGGAGGACAGGAAGCAACATCAGAAAAACAAATGAGAAGGAATCTCCTGCCATGGTGCAGAAGGAGCTGCTCTGGTCCCAAAGCTGTAAACAAACATTGAGAACATCATGTTGCCTGAACACATCGTCCCTGTGGTGAAACATGGTGGCGGCAGCGTCATGCTCTGGGCATGCCTTTCTTTATTATGGATGCTGAGCAGCTGGAAAGAGTTTTACTCCTTTACTTTGGGACAGTTGTCATAATGTGTAACCATGGCAACAAGGTATGGTTTTACAACTGGGAGCAGCTGATTAGCGTCTCAAAAGCCCAATAGAATGTGAACTTTGACCCCAAATCCCAGAGGAGTAGAAAAGAGGCTGGATTAGTAGAGCTACTAATAGCTGATGATGTCATCACGTTGCCGTGGAATATCCTCTCTGCTCCCTGGATGTTGGGCTGTTAGCATATTAGCATGAGACTGTCCTGCAGCAGCAGCCTTCAGTCAGAGGCTTATTCAGATTCGCTGGAAGATTGACTGCGACTGGAGCTCCTTCCTGCACACAGCATCTCCATCCACAACGACTCTTTGATGATATGACTGATTAAAACATTAAATTTCTTTAATTTGGGATGAATAAATTATTACTGAACTGACGCTGAACCCTGCAGGTGGAAACTGGTCACCTGTTACCTGCTGCTGAATGAAGTGGAACACAGACTCACCTCCAGCGGAAGCTCAGGTGTAACATCTTCTCCGTCGCTGTCTCCCATCGCCTCGATGTTAGCAAACTCAGATCATCTCCGCTCGTCTCTGACTTTAGCTCTGAAGCTAGTTCCCTCAGAGACCAGGAAACATGGCGGCTCCTCTCATTTTTTTAATAAACCCTATTGATTTCCGCTCAGGAGACGTTAATAAAGCGCAGCTTTACCGCCTGACATCACAAAAAAGCTGTTTTTCACCTTTAGCGCCGCAGAGCCGCAGCCAGTCTCCACAGGAAGCTGCTTCGCCTCACTTTGGTCAGCTGACCACAAAGAGGCGGGGCTTCGCGCCACGCTGAGGGAATCTCTTCTGTGATTGGCGGTTGCGTTGTTAGGCAACAGGTGACGCTCCAACGTCACGACAAGGCAAGGTTATAGCAGGCCGTTTTAACATAAAATCTAAGTGTACCTTCTCTGAAATACAGAAGCGTGTGCCTAACTATGTTCATGTTTTTGAGTGTAATTAAATGTAGATTTCTGTACAGGGGCTACTTTAGGTGAGGAACCTTTCAGAGAATGTTATTTTATTACATTGTAAGAAACCAAAGACTCATAATAACAGGAATGAAAAGAAACCGGTTGTCAGTGCAATACTTTATATGCAGTTTGTATGTATATATATAAAATAAACAGCTCTTACATCACAAATAAATCAAACATATTGACAGCAGCAATATCACAATGCTTTAATATCTCAGGACATACATATTGTATAATTAAGTAAATATGTTTAATCTAAAATTCAGAGTAAAACATTTATACAAAATGAGCATAAAGCATTGAAAGTAAAAATGTAGATAATATATTGAGACAATAATCAGAAAGACTGATGATAGTTATTTTATATTCACAGATCATTTTACAGAATAAAATGCAATGTTGACATCATTGATGTTAATATTGTTCTAGTTTAAAATCAATAAAGTGTCTCAGGTTGAGCTAAAGCTGCAGCAGTGATTCCACTTATTATAAGGCCAGTTATTATTTTAGTAAACTTGTAATAAACAACAACAAAACAAAGACCAGACTTTCATTTCTGGAGAACCAGTCAACTATGAAATGAGCTTCATCACCTTTCCAATCACTCCCCTCTTCCTCCTTCATCCCACTCATCCTCGCTCTCATCCCATCCCGCCACGCCGCGTTGCAGCTGCAGCTGCGCAGGAGGAAAATCGGCAGGGTTGCAGCTCCGAGAAGCTGAGCGAAGCGTCATGGAGCTGGCAGAGAGGGACATGTCCAGGTCCGGTCTGGGGCTGAGGACGGGGTCCGGAGGACGCAGCGAGGCGGAGAGGGACCGCTGGAAGAGACGGAGGACAGGACTGTTACAGGAAGTCCATCACTAGCATGCTCCAGGCTCGTTTCCAGCAACTCTGAACGTCTGCAAACTGAAACCTTCATAAAACATCTTTCCTCACAGGTTCTCTGCTGAATTCAAGTCTGGGCTTTGACTAGGCCATTCTAATCCATGAATCTGCTCTAATACACTCCTGATCAAAATCTTAAGACCAGTCAAAAAATTACAAGAATTTACATTTTGCACTATTGGATCTTCAAAAGGTTCTAAGTAGAGCTTCACAATGTTAAAAGAAGAAATCAGCGTAAGAGACAAAAACTTTTGAGCGGGGAATTAATTGAAAACTGCATTTACACTCAAACATGATTTTTCAGCTGATCAAAAGTTTAAGACCATAGCTCAAAAACCCCGAAAAACCCCCAAAACAGAAATCACAGTGTCAAAAAAAGGACTCAGTAATGAGTAGCTCCACCATTCTTGTTGATGACTTCAAACAATCGTTTAGGCTTGATGCCAGTGTTTCCAGGAGGCTAGTGGGAACGTTGCTCCAAGTGTTGAAGATGGCTTCACGAAGGGCATCCACTGTCTGGAACTGATGTCCATTTTTGTAAACTTCCCTTGCCATCCATCCCCAAATGTTCTCAATTGGGTTTAGATCCGGGGAACATGCAGGATGGTCCAAAAGAGTGATGTTATTCTCTTGGAAGAACTCCTTTGTCAGGCGGGCATTGTGAACTGCAGCATTGTCCTGTTGAAAAACCCAATCATTACCACACAGACGAGGGCCCTCAGTCATGAGGGATGCCCGCTGCAACATCTCCACATAGCCAGCTGCTGTTTGACGCCCCTGCACAACCTGAAGCTCCATTGTTCCATTGAAGGAAAACCCAAATCATGATGGCGCCCCCACCACTGTGCCGTGTAGAAAACATCTCAGGTGGGATCTCCTTCCGGCAACGTTGGAAGCCATCAGGACCATCAAGGTTAAATTTTTCTCATCAGAGAAGACAGCTTTCTCCCACCTTTCAAAGTCCCATGTTTGGAGACCCTTGCAAAGTCCAAACGGGCAATTTTGTGGCGTTGAAGAAGACGTGGCCTTTAAAGACGTGTTTTGTTTCTGAAGCCCTTCTCTCACAGATGCCGTCTGATGGTTATTGGGCTGCAGTCAGCACCAGTAATGGCCTTAATTTGGGTAGAGGATCGTCCCGTGTCTTGACGGACAGCCAATCGGATCCTGCGGCTCAGAGCTGGTGAAATTTTTTTGGGTCTACCACTTGACTTTTTTGTTCCATAACCCTCAGGATCATTTAAAAAATGCAAAATGACTGTCTTAGTGTGTCCAACCTCAGCAGCGATGACACGTTGTGAGAGGCCTTGCTAATGCAGCTCAACAACCACATTCAAAGTCTGAGCTTTTTTGCTTTTGCCATCAGGAGGTCTTGACAGTGTAAAGACTTAGCAGAAACTGACATGAATCCAGATTTTTGCACAGCTTTTGGCTTTTAAAGACTATGGTCTTAAACTTTTGATCAGCTGAAAAAATCATGTTTGAGTGTAAATGCAGTTTCCAGAAAATTCCCTGCTCAAAAGTTCTTGTCTCTTGCACTGATTTCTTCTTTTAACATTGTGAAGCTCTACTTAGAACCTTCTTAAGATCCAATAGTGCAAAATGCTAATTCTTACAATTTTTTGACTGGTCTTAAGATTTTGATCAGGAGTGTATAAGCCATACACCGTAGCTCTGACTGTAAAACTTCCCGGCTCTGCTCTACTTTGTGTTTCATAAATCCCAATAAAACAGTTAAAGATGGCTATTGGAAGGGACTTTCAGCTAACGAAAGAGCCTGCTAGCTAGCAGGTATTCACCTGCTAGCTAGCAGGTGAGGAGACAACTGACAACTGAAGAGACAACTCACCTCAGTTATCTCTGAGGTGTTTACCTGCAGTGAGATGCTGGACTTGCTGCTCCTCTCTTTGACCCGAGCCAGAGCTCCTTTCAGTCCAGATGACCTCTCCGTCATCTCCAGAGCCGCTCGCAGAAGTCTGGGCGTCTCGGACTTGAGAGAAGCTGCTGGTACCGGAGCCGGTTCCTTAGCTTCCTCTTTGGGTTCAGGCTTTTTGCCCTTATTAAGCATCTTCCTGCGGTGAAAAGGTATTACAGAAAGAGGTGAAGGAGGAATGCAGCAGGCGTTGGAAGATAATCTGGATGCTAACCTGGCCTTCTTGCGCAGCAGCTTCTTGGACTCGGGGTAGTGGACCAGAATCTCATTCAGGTCTTTCTTGTCCAGGATGAACAGGTTTGCAAACCCATGAGAGATCACATTGGCCGTGCGCCGGTTGACTCCGCCCACCGCTAGCAAACTGAGAACCAGACAGCTTGATCAGGACAGGAAGCCGGTCCAAACAGGAGGAAGTGAAGAAGATTTGGTGGAACATCAAGCTTGTCAGACTTTGCTGCCTGTCAGACTTTGCTGCCTGCCAGACTTTGCTGCCTGTCAGACTTTGCTGCCTGCCAGACTTTGCTGCCTGTCAGGCTTTGCTGCCTGTCAGACTTTGCTGCCTGTCAGGCTTTGCTGCCTGTCAGGCTTTGCTGCCTGTCAGGCTTTGCTGCCTGTCAGGCTGCGCTCAGAGCAACGTGACACAAACCCGAATTAACTAAAAACAATCTGAACTGTGACACATCTAGCAAGTTAATCTGACTCTCTACAGGTTGTTTCCTACTTCTTATTATTGAAGGTTTTTCACTTTTCCACTTGTCCTTATTAGGAAGGTGAAAATGAAGAATCAGAGGAATTAAAGATATAAACTAAAATAATTAAATAACTCCTCAGAGAGCAGGAGCTCCAACTCCTCAAGCAGAACCGGGTCAGGCAGAACGTCTTCAGCTTCAGTCCGTCTCCAGGCAGAAACATTCATCTGAGTCACTCTGACTACGTGTCTGATTTTACAGTTTCATGAAACCTTGCAGTTTTCTGTACCTTATCTCTCCAAACACGGATCCTGCTCTCAGCGTAGCAAACACCGTCCTCTCATCGGGACCTCCAACCACCTGCACCTCCCCTGCTTTGATGATGTACATCTCCCGACCCACTTCGCCCTGGGGGGCAGGAAGCAAGCACACGGTCAGGCATGACGCTAGCTGCTCATGCTAGCTTTCAGAGGGGAGGTTTACCTTTTTGCAGACGTAATCTCCAGGCAGGTAGACAACCGAGCGCAGACTCTTCAGCATGTCAAAGATCATCTGCCTGTCACAGCCCTGGGATGCAGGAAGACACTTTGGTTCTTCACACCCGCAGCCATGACACCAGCATGAGCAGAAGCAGGTTAACACCCGGCAGGTGGCTTTAGCGCTTCCTCACCTGGAACAGAGGGACTTTGCTCACGATGGAGTAGTTGACGTCTACAGCGATGTCCAGACGCATTTTATCTGGCAGCTGGGTCAGAAGCTCCTGCTCATCTGGAGGCAAACATCCAGATGTGAAGCATTAACAGCAGCTCAGGTCACCAACCACCAACAGGTGGCGCTCTCCTTACCCAGCATGCCTTGTGATTGCCAGGTGTAGTTGTACCAGGTCTTGACGCGGTTCTGGACGTCTTTGGGGATGCGGTAGGACGTCATGTATTTGATGGTATTGTCCATGCAGGTGCGGTAGTAGGTCTGAGCCGCGGTGGCCGCACCGACAACATCACGCATCTGACATACAAGCAAGGCAGCAGTTGTTGGTTTGACACCTGGAGTGCAGTTAAGCAACCACACCTACCTGACCAATCATGATGGAGAAAGCGAAGACTCCAACGAAGTAGTTGATGAGCTGGAATACGATCTCAAACAGGGAGGTGGGATCCGGCAGACCGCCGATGGTGATCAGAGTTTTCACCGCAAAGTAGTAACAGCGAATATAACTGAGGAAAGAAGCATAAGGAGATTTGATTTTTGATTCTTAACAAAACATTTAAAAAATAATTAAATAAGGTGCTTGTTAAATAACAGTTTTCCCTTTGAGAAGAAGAAGAAAAAGAAGAAAAAGAAGAAAAAGAAGAGGAAGAAGAAGATTTTTTATTTTTTTATTTTTAACAAAACGTTTATTTACAATGATTTAACAATAAACTTGCATAATAATCAGGTCAATGAAAACCAAATAAAAACAATAAATATTTACATTAGCAGCTTGTTAAAATTTAGTTCTCCCTGATTAGAAATATTGTGTTTGTAGGCTAAGTATTTAGCTAGCTCAGAGCTAACTAGATTGGAGCTAAATCATTAGCTTGCTGACTAAATATGTAGTTAAAAATTTAGTTTAAATATTTAATTAGTAAGTTAAACGTTTACCTACTAAATATTTAGTTCCAATCAAAAATGCTTAGCTAGCAAGCCAGTTAAATATTTAGTATGTCAACTAAGTATTTAACTTGCTAGGAGCTAACAAATTTGGAGCTAAATAGTTAGCTATATCAACAAATACTTATGGAGCTAATTATTTAGTTTACCACCTTAATAAATCCAACTTATTTAAATATTTAGCTCAAAAGATTTAGTTAGCAAGCTAACTGTTTAGCTCCAGTCCAAACTAAATGTTGATCTCTGAGCTAGCTCAACATTTAGTTTGCAAAGTGTGACCTTCCCCAACCTGTTGCCGACCCCATTGTAGACCCACTGCGTGGCCCCGAGTCCGATGTAGGAGGACGCCCAGTGGTAGAGGCAGGCGTTGCAGTGAAGACAGTAGAGAAGATATGTGGTGGTTCGGATCACCCTGAAACACAGAACCGCCTCCCATTTTACTAACGCACTCATCAAACTGCATCTCCCAGCATGCATTGTGCCAGATGTGAGGAGTTTTCTGCTGCCTTGATGAGAGACAGAGATGTTTATGGGTGTTGCCCTGATTCACCTGAAGAGACCCTAACTTTATCAATAATAAATCATTATTATTAAGTAGATGAACCAAATATTGATGGCAGTTTTGCTTCGCAGCAGCAGGATGCATCTAATGAGCCGGAACTTCGTTCTGTCTTCGTTTGTTGTGCAACTGGGAGAGCGTTTCCCAGAGGCTGACCTGTAGATGTAGGCTTTGGTCAGGATGGCCTCCAGTCGCTCATTGAACTCAAAAAATGAGTTGATCTGCAGACAACAGAAACCTCTCAGCTTCATTTCTAACGTTTTGAGAAGAGGAGAATCTCCACATCATTTCAGTTCAGCAGCCGACCTTCAGCAGGCGAGGTAACCGCAGCAGAGGGTTGATGCCCGTCTTAAAGTACAGCAGCTCTAAAGGAGCGAGGCTGGCCACGTCGAACTGCAAAACAAAGCAGGAGTCAGGAAGCATTCACGGAAAAATTCACAGAAAATTCACACGAAAATTAACTGAAAATTTCATGAAAAATTCACAGAAAATTGACAAAAAAATGGAATGAAAAATTTCTTCTAGTCCTGATCTGTTTACCTTGAAGCGTTTTGTTTTCATGTAATTCTTTCTCATTTCCTTCTTGTCACACTGTCACAATAAAACAAAATGTGGAATCAGAGAAATGAGACATTGCTCATTATGGAACTGCACAGTAATCACATAATCTCAGATTATTCTCAAATCATTCCCAGATTATCTCAGTTTATTCCGAGGTTGCCTCACCACGATGTCTCCTCCGCTGACGAACTGCAGGCGCGGCTGAAACACGGCGATGTCCAGGATGTAGATGAGGTCGCAGGTGTAGTCGGCCAGCAGCCAGTAGGGGGCGTTTTGGGGCGTCTGGTAGGGGAACGCCCAGCGGACCGGGATCAGCCACACGTTCCAGTTCCAGGCCGCAGAAACCAGGAACATCCACAGAACATACAGGATGTCTGGGGACAGATTACAGACGTGCATGATGAAGAGGAGGAGAACCAGGCGGTGGCAGCAGGTACTGCGGGATTCTCACTGGTGAAAGGGTCGATGCTGGCGGGGAATCGGATCGGCCAGCAGGCCCGGATCCACCGAATCTGCTTTCCTCCAGACACCCTGCTCCCTGCCCCGCTTCCTGCCCCGCCGACACACTGACCTCCTAACCTGCCTTCCTCCTCATCCTCCTCTTCCTCACCCTGGGGGGCAGCTGGAGGCTGAGGGGGAGCTGAGGAAGAAACAACAGAGAAACACGAACAGGCAGAGAGACGGAACCAACTGGGCCCGACCCGACCGGAACTGGGTTCTGCTGGTAGGAATATGGCAGTCAGTGGAGGTTCTGGTTCTGGGTCTCGTTCGGTGTGGACCAGAACTTCCCTGCAGTCTGATATGAAACGCTGCTGCTGACTTGTGACCTCTGGGCCTGATCATCATCAGCATGGGGGACATTGGGGCGGAGTGGGGGGTACTGGGGGACATTGCCTGCCCACAGATCAGCTGTACCCCCCCCTGGAAGCTGTTTGTTGTTTTTACCTTAGAATGGCCAACTCTCTGTTATTCCTGTCAATTTGACACAGTAGAGGCTTCCACACTTCCCATATCTGTGTCCTCTGTCACTTTTATCAGCAGTTAAAACTGTTTAATCCGTTGTTAACATGTTGTAACCTGTTTTTCCGAGCCGCCTTTAAACGCAACATGAGCGCTACGACGCTCGCGCTGTACGTCAGCGAAGGAGACCTGCTGCTGCTGGGCGGAGCTACGTAGGTTTGTGTTAGAATCACGGCAGCAAACCAGCAAAACGCAAATAACTTTTCACAGTTTTTTCCCCCAGACTGAGTTGAGTAAAGCTGTTGGATGCAGGTAATGTTAGCTAAAAGATGACTAGCTAATATTAGCGAAATGATGATTAGCTAACATTAGCGAAATGATGACTAGCTAATGTTAGCTAAATGATGACTAGCTAATGTTAGCTAAATGATGATTAGCTAACATTAGCGAAATGATGACTAGCTAATACCAATACAGCACCCTAAGCTTGTTAACAAGTACAGGCTACTGGTGTCTGTTCAAAAGTGGGCAGAACTTGTTACATTCAGTTGAGTAACTTTTTTGGAAAAATGTCCTCATAAGTGTAGTTTTACTGCACTGTACCTTTTTGTTTTACGTGCCTAATATTATTGCTGCGTAGATTCATTTTGTCCCCCGAAAATAAGCTGATGCCCCCCCAGCCCTCCTTGTTAAACTCGTGTGGAGCCAGGGCTGACCAGAAGGACCATATAAGTGTGTGTGTGTGGGTGTGTGTGTGTGTGTGTGGGGGTGAGTGTGTGTGTGTGTGTGTGTGTGTGTGTAGGTGTGTGTGTGTGTGTGTGTGTGGAGGAAGACTCACCAGCGATGACGCTCTCTTCGTCGGAGCTGTCCGGGTCGATCAGCTTCTCTTTGGCTTTCTCTGTCCTCTCTTTGAACATCCTGACCAGTTCCTGGAGTCGCTCACTGACCACAGCACTGGTCTGACTGGTCTGACTGGCAGCAGAGGCTGGGCGCTCCCTCAGCCTGGAGGACAAGAGGAAAACCAGCAGGGGATGAAGGGATAGATGGATGAACAGATGGATGAACGATGTGTGGCTGGCCTGTGACTCTCGCCCAGCCTTGCACGGCGTTAGCTCCGGGTCTTCCTAGCAGACGAACACCGAGCTCGCTGCTCCTTGCTGCTGTGACAGTATTTGACTTTTTTCCAGCTGCTGAAGGAATAATTCCTGAATTCTTGATCCCGGTTTTATTCATAATTTTGCAGAAGTAAATTTGTCCTTTTTTCCCGCTGGAAACCCACTGCAAGCTGTTAGCCCAGCAGCCAACTGTTCGCTACACAGACTAACCTTGTCCAATAGCAAGTTGTTTCTGGGCAGAGATAAAACACCTCAGGATAAACAACTTAGGTGTTTATTAGTTTAATCATTCTTTCATCTTCTTCTGGCCCGCCGTTGCTTTTTATGTGGCCTTCTACACTCCAAGTTACATCAGTAAGTTACTCCAGTTTTTCACGAATCTGCAAAATTCATGCAAAATCAAGAGACCACACATCTTTATCTGACTTTACTGCAGATTTGTCTCAAAATTGACCAGAAACATTGGGCAATTAAAGAAATGTCACATTTAACATTATATAACTTAACACTTCAAAAACAATCACAAAATCCTGGATGATCAGTGTGAAAAGATGTGCAATATCATTTCATTTTAAGAGAAACTAACGTGTTTATTGATATTTTAACAGTCCAACAGGTTTTATCAATAGATTCTGACACAAGCGTCCCTTTAAGAACATTCAGATTTTTAATGTGGCCCAAAATGAAAATGACTTTGACGCCCCTGATCGATGTTCACATGACGCCAAAGTGCTGGGCCGAGGCCTTAATTTTTATAAAACCTAAACCTCATCAGGCTGAGAAACGATAACTGAGACTCAACTATAAGATATTGATTATCAGGTGGAGACCAGTCATTTTAAATTACTAGTTTTATTGATAACTGCTCTCAGCAATTATTTCTAGTTATTCATAGCCAAACCTCTGCTGGACGATGGACAGTAGGATGGATGTGCAGGCGGTTGAATGCTCTTACATGCTGTCGGCGCTGCACAGACTGGACTCACTGGGCCAGGCTCGGACCGGTATGCTGACTTCATCATCATCATCTTCGCTCTGGGCCTGCAGGTTTCTGCTGGTGACGTTCAGGATAAAACAGGTGAGTCCTGATCCTCACCTCCCGGCTCAGGTAAGTGTGTGGAACAGCCTTATATTAGCCAGTTGCTATTGGCAACGTAATTACATTAATATTAAGGAAGGAAAATCCCTCCTAAATAAACTGCTGACAGCTCTGGGTCATGTTTCAGCAGAACCAGGACATCTGGATTAGAGCCGGGACTTTAACACATTACATTAGATTAATTCATTACATACATAAACACATTAAAGATTTCAACACAATTAATCGCGTCTCTTTGTACATCCAGAAGTTCTGACTCTGAACTATTGTATTGTGTTTCTAGTACGCCGCTGCTATCGACCCACTGTGCTGGAAAAGGCTGCTGTTCTGTTCAGAAGCTAAGCTAGCCTAAAATAGCATCTCCATGCTAACATGTAGCAGCTAACGCTAATGTTAGCATCCACAGTCCAGATTTGTAAAGAAGATCCATGAACGATCAGAGAAACTCTGGAAAGATGAACTTTGGTCCAATCTGATGAAGAACATGAAGATTACAAACTATAAATAATCTGCTGCTGAGCTCAGATTGACATTTATTCAATAATTTAGCAGCAAAAAATGTTTTTTAAATCGAAAAAGCTGCTTGTTTCGTTGATAACAGTTTTTGATGAAAATGCGATTAGCCTCAGCGTTAATCTGGACCATCGACAGATTAAATCTGCCTCGTCTCAGAGCGAACCCTCAGCTGAAGACGGAACGACACGAACCAGGCACTGCCTAGTGAAAGGTCAAAGGTCGCTGCATGCTCCAACACTGACAGGGTCCTGGAGGGCGAACAGACCACTGGCAACAATACAATGCTATCTTAGTAGGAGTCTCTTCCCTCTGTGAAGTAACTGAATTTAAAGGATTTATTTTCTAAAAACCTTCAGTGAGAAACAGCATCCCAACCAGGATGAATTAACTAAATTAATTCATGACTTAATTCAAATACAAACAGCAAAGGACGTGATTGTTGGGCTTACGACTTGGTCCAGACGGTCCGACGCTTCCTCCCACCGCTGTGGACGAACAAGGGTCAAAGGTCAGAGAGGATCAGAGGTCAGAGTGATGTCAGAGAACATGGAGTTAATCACTCAGAGCCATGCACCAAGCAGATCATGCATCAGACACAGAGAGGACCCACAGCGTGCCATGCAGGTTTTATTGATGATGATGAAGATGAGCTTACAGGAGGAAGAAGCAGAAAGCCGTACAGAGAAGTCGCCGCAGCAACAAGCGTCAGTTCTGCATCAACTTGGCGCAGCGCTGCTTGTGCGCATCGTTTCGTCCAGATTAGATCAGATGGAATCAAAACGTTTGGATTGTTTCTGCAGAACAAAACCGCAGAGCCAGAAGACGGACAGCAGGGGGCAGTGCAGGAGGCAACAGCGTGAAACGTTTCTGTCCAAAATCACACATTTTAGTTTCATCAGAGAATCCTCTAGCGGTGGTTTTCTGGAATGAACTCATCTCCTTTTGGATTAAAACGTTTCACTTCCATTCACCGATTCTGTGAATTTATGCAACACTGATGGAAATCTAACGGCTGGACAGAGCGAGCTCCCATGCAGCTTCCTTACTCTTTATCTCCTCTACTGGGAGCGCAAGCATGCGAGGAGAGAAAGAACACAACGTTTCAGTGAAGATCCGGATTCAGCTTCAGATCGTTTTATCAGCACAGCTGCATGGAGAACAGATGAAACTGATCAGAAAAACTGAAACAAGTCCAGAGTCCTCTGTTAAACTCCAGAAGAGGAAGAGCGGCTTTCTTTCAAATCTAGAAACGAACGAGTGAAACCGGGGAAATCCGTCTGCAGGCGCCTCACCTCTGGCGGCCTCCTGCCGGGGCCACGGGGACCGTCAGGGTGCTGAGCTTCGGGTCCAGGGCCGGGCTGCTGCTCTCATCACCTCCTGCTCCTCCTCCTCCCTCCTGGTCGACATCCTCCACGCTCACCGCGGGCCGGAGGCTGAGGCTCGGCTCTGTTGGACCACAGAGACGTTCAGGTCAAACTGAAACATTGTTAGAAATTAACAGATTTATTTCTGTTTGCTGATATAAAGTTTCACTTTTTAGTCTGAATGAATGAATGAATGAATGAATGAATGAACTTTGTAATGAGTGATGTCACTCAGGTGCTCCTCCATCATGTCTTCCTGATGAACACATGAAGGATTTGTGCAGCTGCAGCTCAGAGACCCGGTTCTGCCGGGTCATTCAGGCTGATCCGACCAACATGGTTCTGGTTCCATACAGAGAGTCGGCACCTGACCCAGACCCGGTTCCAGTCGAGTTTTTAACAAACCCAAACATTTCAGACTGAAAATGTATTCATACGCTCATCTGATCCAGGCGGCATCAGAAGGAAGCAGATTTTAAGTTTCCAGCCTGAACGTTAATCCTGACCTGAAGCTGCTTTAGGTTTTCTTCAAGGCCAAACGTCTGCTGCGTCTCTGCAGAACAACTGAAAAAATAAAATCTGGAACTCTTTTCTGCTTCGTTTTTCTACAAAGCAGAAAAACGAAGCTCCAGAACCCTGTTGCCCGGGTTTGGAGCGCAAACCCGGGCCACAGTTTGCGCTCCAAACTGTGGCCCGGGGGCCAATCGTGGCCCTTGAAATGATTTTGTTTGGCCCCTGAAAGGAAGTAAAGGATGGTAAAAACTTGGTCAACAAAATAGAGAACAAATGACATAAAAATAGTTTTTTTTTAATAAGGCAGCAGCCCTGTTCATGTTTTGGATCTTTAATGATATTCTGATTAGTCTGAATGATTTTTTGACCTGCCAACAGTTTAAATTTGCCGGTATCCTGCTGTAGTTCCTGACATTTTGAAAGGTTTTCAGTTGGTTTGCTGTTTTACTCCTCAGTTTGTTTCAGCAGAAACTGAGCCAACCTCCAACCCTAACCTGCTGCGGTTACACCTGGACCCCTGAGGCGGCTTCACCTGCAGGTCCGCCTGAGTCATCCTCGATGAAGAAGGCGGGGTTAGCGAGGCCGGAGAGCGGGCGCGGCGGGCTGGCGATGGGCGGTAGGCGGGGGTAGGAGGGCACGTTGGGCAGGGTGGGGGGGGAGGGGCAGGGGGAGGGCAGCTGAGGATGAGGACGGGGGCCCGGGGGATGCTGCAGGAAGTGGGTGAGTTCTAAGTCCGGCTGCTTCCTGTTCTGGTTCTGGTTCTTAGGCATCTTGTGGCATGAGGCTGTTGAGGCGGTTCCGGATGTTCAGGAAGCTCTGCTGGGTTCTGCTGGGCAGCTGGGCCAGCTTCTCTGGGACGGAGGACAGGCTGTGGGCCAGGCCGGAGAGGCTGGGGCCCCCCGCAGACTCCGGGCCCCCAGCGGCCCCGCCGGGCAGCAGCTGGGTGAGGCTCTGGGCGACGCTCCACGGGACCCGGGTCAGCCGGATGTGGGAGAACTCGTGGAGCAGCTCCGGGGGCAGAGAGGGCAGGTAGCTGGTGAGGTCAGAGAACCTGGTGGGGGGGTGGGGCAGCTGGGGGGGGGAGATGCCGTTCTCCTTGAAGAACGCGTTGATGTTGCCAAAGCACTCAGAGGTCGGCGGGAAACGCATCAGACAGTTCTTAAACGCATCACAGCTGACCGGCGCTGCAGAGAGACGGGAAGAGCCAATCAGAGCACAGGCAGACAGGAAGAGCCAATCAGAGCACAGGCAGACAGGAAGAGCCAATCAGAGCAGAGCATTGGGTTCTGGTTCTACTCTTGATCTTCTATGTACCAAAATGCCGTTTACCTCCACAGCCGTCTCCAGAAGCATCTTCATCCTGCAGGAAGCAAGACGATCCGGCAGGAAGTGGAAATAATAAATAAAACATCAGAGTGGTTCTACATTACCGTAGACGTTGTCTGGAATCAAACCAGAAACGATCCCAGTTAACCAGAAACGATCCCAGTTAACCAGAAACGATTCCAGTTAACCAGGAACGATTCCAGTTAGATGAGCTAAACCATGGAGAGAAAAACACGTTACCTTTTCTGTGTTAGAAGTCGGAGCATCGTTTGCTTTCTGCGGCTGCTCCGTCACAGCTGCTGCACACACTTCCTGCTTTTCTGGTTCTGGTTCTGGTTCTGGTTCCGGCTCTGGTTCCTCCTGCTGCTCTTCAGCTGTGTCTCTACCTGCTTCCTGGACTGTCGGTTCTTCGGCTTTCTGCTCGTCCTGGAGCCCGGACCCGTCCTTTCTGCAGAACAGAACCGGAGACTGAGGTTTCAGTGAACGGCTGGACACACTGGAACACAGGAGGTTCAAAGTGCGGCGCCCGGGGCCTCTGGTGGTCCTTGGACTGATTTTTTTTGGGCCCCAACTGCAGTTCTAAAATGATGCAGACCTCTGGTTGATGCAAACTTTTTATTTTTAATCAGGTTAAAATTATTACACAGGATTTTGTTGTAATTGAAAATATTCAAAACAATATAAAGTATTCATGTTTTTATAACCAAGCTTTTGTAATAAGTAGAACCTGGTTTATCCAGAGGTTTTTACTGAAAAGTCAACTTTACTTTTATTTAATTTATGAAATTTGGACAAAGTCTTTTGAACAAAACGAATCCAAATCCTGTTTTTACCGCTGACAACAAAATTTGTTTAATTGAATCCAAAACAATCTGAAAACTAGAAGCTTTTCTCTTAAAACAGCAAACGGCCAACTCCTTTAAAGCTGCAGCATGTAACTTTAAGAAATATTTTTCTACATATTTGTTGAAACTGTCTCCATGTTGAGACAGATAATCTCTGCCTTCTCTCAGCGCTACCTAGAAACAACCAATCAGAGCCAGGAGGCGGGTCTACGCGCTGTCAATCACCCTGTCTTCCCCTCCTTCCCGCAGCTCTCTGCTATGCTGCAGCTAGCATAGCTTGTCATGAATGCTAAGGCTAGTTAGCATTGCCATCAGTCACAGCAGATAAATGGCTTTCCTGTAACAGTAAGCTTTTTTCTGCCATTAACACTTTGAGCAGCAAGTACATGAGAATGATTGACAGCACTAAGCCCCGGCTCCTGCATCTGAATGGTTCATTTCTCCAGGCAGCAGCTCAGGGAGGAGATCGATCCGTTCAGATGATCCGTCTCGTAGCAATCGGTTTGAACTAATATGTAAAAAATATTTCTTATAAAAGTTACAAACTGCAGCTTTATGGATTTTTAATGTTCCAACGTCTGAACTGAGAATCCAGAACAGTTTCTCAGTCCAACGGACCAAAGTCACCGGCACCACTTCAAATAATATTCACATTATTACTGACTTATTGACTCTAACTTGTCAGTTTTATTGAATTCATAACTTTATGAATGTTACCTGGTCTTTGCTGTGAACTCAAGTATTTACAGATCCAGGAAGTTCACTTCAAAATAATTCCTTGAATGTATCCAACAAACCATTTATAAAAGAATGGAGGAATAAATTGGACAGACTTTTTGTAAAACAGATAAAGAAACTATTTCACATCTTTTTCTGCTGTTTTGGTACTGAAAGGAAATATTTATTCAAACAATATTGTGGCATTAACATTAAGCTAAAATATAATAATCTTATTTTTAATTATTTGAAACTTTTTGATTCTATTTTGAGTGTTCATGAGTTCATCCCCCCTCCTCCCCCAGGCCATGGTGGGATGTTTAATGGCCGCCCATCATTAGGAAACTCAAAACATTTTAATTCAAGGCTGGAAAGGACCAAAGCCATAAAGACTTTAGTTTAATTTTATAAAATATCTGACATGTTGACCTCGATGTTTTTCTTTCTTATTTCAGTTCTTGTTCTCATTAGTCAGTTTGATCTCTTATATTTTATTCTCTATTGTATTTTGTCGATAATGAAAACCAAAGATGGCATCAGTCGGAACCGTTTGGGTTTGTTCCGGCTGGAAGAACCGCTCATTTCATCTCTGATTGGTTTCAGTTTTAGAGCCTGAAGGGAATCACCGGTTCTCAGTACTCACTTCCTCCGACGAGCTGTTAGTATTCCCGCCTCCAATGTCCCCCAGCATCAGAACACCAGCTGGACCGAGGAGCGGGTCAGAACCTGCTCGGTTCGCTGCTGTTGATCAGACAGCAGCTGCAGGAGCGGCCGTTACCGGGGCAACCGTAGGGAGGGCGGGCGAGGGGGGACGGTTGCTAGGGGAAGCTATGGTTGCTATGGCAAGGTTTTGTGACGCTGCTGAAGCAAAGCTCGCGGGATTTCAAAATCAGCTGCGAGACCTCCTGAGAAATCTGCTTCAGAGCGGCGGTGACGTAATAATAATGTATTATTATTTATTTATTTATTTATTTATTTATTTGTCCTAGTATTTGGGTAAACCTTAAGATAAAAAACTATCAAAAGGAAATGGGTTTTATTTTGAAATCATCTGTAAATGAGAAAACCTTGACCAATCACTAACAGCAAAATATGGGCATTTAAAGTTGACATTTGATTTTTATATAGACTGTAGAAAAAGTGTAACTATCTGACTTTAAGTTTGACTAGATTTTTCTAATTTTCTACAGACGTTTTACCAGAATAATGAGACAGAGGACGAATTAACTTGATCAAATATAAGTTCAGGAGAAGATAAACTCTGATCTAAAAGATCCTGTCCTGGCCATCGCTTTTCTGTGCAATTCCACTCAAATAAAAATCTCAGTCTGGGCTTTCTTCCATTCACTTGGATTATCTCCGATAGCAGACCAATCAGTGAACAGAAAGAGTTTTAGTTTTAGCAGCGGAGGAACAAAACCGTTCAGTTTGTTTTGGCCGCGCCTCGAAATATTGCATTAACATCAACAGCTGCCTCGTTTGGCTCAGCTCTTCTCTCTTTGCAGTTGAGGGCGGTTTACAGTTCAGGTAAGCTTCATAGTGTCGAGCTGGTGCATTACATAAGTCACTGGCAAACATTAGTGACTGGGTAGAATTTAAAACCTCAGCACGGTCCTCGCCTCCCTGAGCCTCTGGATGCAGGAAACGCAGAACAAGGAGCTGCAGAGAGCAGAGACGATGGAGAAGTTTAATAAACAAGCTGATACTCACTCTGCATCAGCTCCTGGCTCTAGCTTGCTGTCTTCTTCTGGTGCTGCTGGCAATCTGGCAGCAGAAAACAGTCAGTCAGGTTAAAACAGTCAGTCAGGCTCCTCATAATGCTGGTCCCAGATGAAATTCTGCAAACGTTCTCACTCTGCCTCCGGTTCCTCCAGTAGCTCCTGGCTCTCCAGGGAGAGTTTGATGGAGGTTCCCTCGCTGGCCATCTGCCTCACTGCCATCTCTGCCGTCTGCCGGGCCACCTCTTCAGCCAGGCGGGCCATCTCCATGCGCTCCTGCAGCAGGCTGCAGCAGATGCACTGGATTACAGGGATGCTGTGTGCTGCAGAGGAATCCCCCTGAACCAGTGCCGGCTCACCGTTCCTCCATGGAGGCCAGCGCCACGCCTTCAGCCTCCTTCTTGATGCTTTCGATGAATGGTGTCCAGCGGCCCGTCTGGGTCTCTGCGTCTTCCTGAGATGTTTTTGTCCCGCTGTCTGAAGCTGGGGCCTGCGGGGCCTGCGGGGCCTGCGGGGCCTGCGGGGCCTGCGGGGCCTGCGGGGCCTGCGGGGCGGCGCAGTTGTCCAGAGCCTCCACAGAGCCGGACCTCCCTCTCTCCTGCTGGGCCGGGTCACCCGCTGGACCCTGGGATCCTGCAGCTTTGGGGCAGTTCTGGCCCTCGTTGTCCGACTCCATGTCCTCCAGAACCATGTCGGGATTCAGTTTGGAGGAAGCTGCAGCAGGAGGAGTCAGAGGTCAACGTTAGGCTTTGTGTCTGGTTAGAAGCATGTACATGTTACAATGTTGATGCTTTAGTCTGCCAGGCTGCAGCAACACAATCAAAACGTTATTGATTTTTAATTCACTAAGTTCATTAATGAAATATTACTTTTTGAAAACATTTCTGCCTTGTCCTGTCAACTGGTTGAACATGTCAAATGTGTGTCTCTGCGTGTGTGCAGGTTAGCTTCATAGCGTCGAGCCGGTGCATTACTGTGTGTGTGTGTGTGTGTGTGTGTGTGTGTGGTTGTTTATCCTGTCTGTCTCTGTGTTGTCCTGGCGACCTGTCCAGGTGACCCCGCCTCTCGCCCTTTGACCTCTGGAGGCGACCCACAGCGATCAGTGTGTTGGATGAACCTGGTTTCTCAACTTTCACACTGAACTTCGACATCAGTCACCATTTTCTTGTTGTCTGTTTTATTCTAATTTGTTCATGTTTTCCAGTTTTGCTGTTGGTAATTTGTTAGTTTTCATTATTCTTTCATTTTCACTCAGGAGTTTAGCTGAATGTCACCAGCTTAGTGACTTTGTTTTTCTGTTTGCGTTTGGACCAAAGCAGTGGAGACGCAAATAGAAGCACAAAAACATGCAAAAAGTTAATTTTCTGTAAGACGTTATAACTGAAGGCTGAATTATTTTGTTGATAAATTCTCGCGTACTGGAGAAAAGTTGCCTAACTTTGGATGCATAGTTCTGCTGTTCAAGAACGTCGATGGTGAATTCATCTTTGGCTGTTAGTTCCTGAAAGTCTTTTTACTCATTTTGTTAGTAAAAGTCATTTATAACCAGCCAGTGACTTTATGAACCTGATTTTCTCGTTCTGGTCCAACGTTAAGGTGCTGATGAGCCTGCTGCATCATCTTTCAAACCAGGACCGGTTTGATCCACAGTCCACAGGTCAAAGGTCATATCACTGAAATAATGCACCAATGCCAGTCTTCCTCTGCAATCATGTGAATTTAATGCGACTGTACATAAATGTGTGGAGAAACTTGTAAGTAATGTCCTGGTATTTTAAAAAGGTCTTCATGAACCTTGTCATAAAAATCCAATATGGCTGCTGCTCATTTCAAAGCAGGACTGTAATTCTGACCATTTGAATCTCGATGAGTTTTTCCCACAGGTCAACCAGTTGCTGCAGTGAACATACTAAATACAGTTGAGCCTGATCCACAGTCAGATCCTCTGAGCCTGTGCAAGTTTATCACACTTCATAAAGCATTAAACTCTTACATCTCTGAACGCAAATGACTCTCCAGGATTACGCCTTAAAATTCAAACTTTAATGCATTTATCTATAATAAATCAAGTACAAATACAGAGAAATGCATTCCGCTTCATCACACATCGTAGCTGCCGTTCAACAATTCAAGAAATGTCAAAATTGACACATTTACTAATTAATATGTGTGTTCAAGAAATCTACAATAATTTCAGATAAACAGTAAATTACTACATTTTTCTGTTGAACAGAAAATATGCAAATTTAAAATACAAACAACTGCGAGCAAAAATAAATCTGGTGCTAAACGTATTCCAGTTCAAGCTTCAACTGGAGGACAGAAAGGAGACTCTAACAGCTGCCTCAATAGTCTGGGCTCCCAGTGAGATCCCAGTAAGCTCCCAGTGAGATCCCAGTAAGCCCCCAGTGAGGCCCCAGTAAGGCCCCAGTAAGCTCCCAGTGAGATCCCAGTAAGCCCCCAGTGAGGCCCCAGTAAGGCCCCAGTAAGCTCCCAGTGAGATCCCAGTAAGCCCAGCGCCCTGCCAGCATGTGAGCTGGTTCTATGTGCTGGTCGGAGCGTCCCAGCCGTCTCCTCCTGCTGTTCAAGGGGCTCGCAGCGCCTTCCCCCCTGAAACAGAAGGAGAAGATGGACTGAGTTAGGCTCCGACCAAAACACCGCCTTTAAAACTCAAGAAGAACAGGAAGTGGAGCTTTACAAACCCCGGATGGAAAACCGAGTCAGTCGGCCCACTAACGCTGAGGAAACGCCTGGCGTCGGTCCATCTACATACCGCCTGTTTCCTAAACTACTGACAGCCTGTTTCCTAAACTACATACCGCCTGTTTCCTAAAATACTGACCACCTGTTTCCTAAACTACATACCGCCTGTTTCCTAAACTATTGACCGCCTGTTTCCTAAACTACATACCCCCTGTTTCCTAAACTACATACCACCTGTTTCCTAAACTACATACCACCTGTTTCCTAAACTACTGACCGCCTGTTTCCTAAACTACATACCACCTGTTTCCTAAACTACTGCCTGTTTCCTAAACTACTGACCACCTGTTTCCTAAACTACTGACCACCTGTTTCCTAAACTACTGACCACCTGTTTCCTAAACTACTGACCGCCTGTTTCCTAAACTACTGACCACCTGTTTCCTAAACTACAGACTGACTGACTGATTTCTGAACTACAGCAGAGCCGGTGGACTGGGACTCACCTTTTTGCAGCACTTCAGCTGCTCCCTGTCCCAGCGTTAGGAAACAAACACAGAGTGAGTCTCTGAACGATCTGAGTGAGGAAGGAAATGATAATGATGATGATGAAGAACCTCAGCTTCATCTTTGGGTGGCAGGACAAGCTGCGGCATCTTCAGACCCAGGCCGGACACGAACCAGTCGACCACTCTGGAAACAGACAGAATTAGCTCATGAAATGTTTCGATCGCTTGACTCTCTCCTGATTCCTCCTCCGTTTGATGGTTCGGGAGTCATTCAGTTCTCACCTCATGTTTCCGTTCTGACTTTACAAAGAGACACCATGTTTACTCTAAGCTGTTCAGAAATATGTTCATAAGTGAGACTTCCAACTGCTTCCATTCACAGATGCTCTGTTTTCTGCAGCCGCTCTCTAAAATGAGGCTACTGGCCAGATTATTAGCATAGTCAGATTATGCTCTACTAATAATCTGACTCATATAGCATTGCTCATATTAAGATAATAAATCTTCTACTGGAAAATACATTCAGAGGAAATAAAGAGAATTATATAAAAACACGAAACACGTTAAAACAACAAAAGGAGAAATTCAACCATCACTTAACTAGAAATAAGATTGAAAAGTTTAAGGCATAATATAATGACTTTCTCTGTATGGAGTAATAAGCAAAATAAAATCTGCTACATTAACAATGGTGGGGGGAGGAGGCACAATCAGGTCAATCAGAATATTTCCCAGAAGTCTTTGGGATCTGAGGCAGGTTTTCTCTTCAGCGTTTGGTTTATTTGCTGCTTCAGAGCGAACAGATCAGACTCTGAGCTGCAGGAGGAGCTGGGAAGCCATGTTGTTCCTGCACAGCTTCCCGGCACGTTACAAGGTCAGTGAGGCCTTGTGTGGTTTTTGGGGCGGGGTCACCAGGAGTTCACAGGAAGCTGAGTCATTGCGGCGGTAAATAAACCCACCCAGCTCTGCTGTCGGTGTCCAGTGAAATCCCACTGAGAGACTCCGGCGGAGGCGACAGCACTGCAGGCAGAAACAGAGAGCGTCGCATTAAATGTCGGAAATCATCGTCACCGCAGCTCTGGAGCTGTTCTACCCATAGACATCATATACTAGACGCCTCATGGAGCGCTGAGTCCTGCGTTACGTCGCCGCCATCTTGTATGTGGCAGCAGAGCGATCGGAGCTCCTTAAGCCCTGTGCTGTGTGTTTCAACCGTTTTACGAAACAAACTGGATTCATTAGGATTACCTTCCCCAGGTAAGGATGAAAGATCAGAAACTTTGCAGCCAGAAATTCGCTTTTAAACAACCGAAAAATATTTCCTATGTAGCTAAATTGGCCCGAAATAACCGCTGATTGTTAGCTTAGCAGCTAAAGTTTTCACACTGTTTTCTAATGAGAGCTGATGAAAAACCGCTGTTAGAGGAGAAGTTCATTAGAAACCAGAGGATTTAGTGAGGAAAGATTAGTCAGGATCAGAGCTGGAGCTGCTGTTCTTCAGTCTGTTTCCAGCTCAGCTTCACCATGTTGGTATTTAGCTATAAAGATGCTACGAGTCAGAGCCCAACATGCTGAAAATGTCTTTTTCTGAATGTGAAGGAAATATATATGCATTTTCTATTACACTTTTGGATAATTTCTCTTTTATCCTTGGCTTCAGCCTGTGACCAGTGTTCCCAGTGTAATAAATAAATGTTTTATTCTTTCACTTTGTGTATTTTTAAAAATCTCAATCTTAAGTATTAGTGTATTAATACAGCTTATGTAATGAAATAGAAATAATTTACTCTGTTAGAATTATTTTCATTCTTTGCTGTCAATAGCAGAGTTGATGTATACAGTAATAAATATTTTTTTCTCTGGAAAAAAGTAAGAAAATATGTAGTTTAATGTTTGACAATGACTGATTTATAAATCTAAAGTAATTTCTCTATAATGCATTAAAAAAATAAATACAAGAAAATTATTTGTTTCTTGTCTTGCAACGTTAAAATGTACATTAAATTATCGAATTATGTAAATATGTTCTTACTTTTTTCCAGAGAAAAAAATATTTATTACTGTATACATCAACTCTGCTATTGACAGCAAAGAATGAAAATAATTCTAACAGAGTAAATTATTTCTATTTCATTACATAAGCTGTATTAATACACTAATACTTAAGATTGAGATTTTTAA